ACACAAGAACACTAAACCAGAACACTAAAAACCAGAACACTAAAAACCAGAACACTAAACACCAGAACACTAAAACCCAGAACACTAAATACCAGAACACTAAACACCAGAACACTAAAAACCAGAACACTAAACACCAGAACACTAACACTAAACACAAGAACACTAAAAACCAGAACACTAAAAACCAGAACACTAAACCAGAACACTAAACACCAGAACACTAAAAACCAGAACACTAAACACCAGAACACTAAAACCAGAACACTAAAAACCAGAACACTAAACACAAGAACACTAAAAACCAGAACACTAAAAACCAGAACACTAAACACCAGAACACTAAAAACCAGAACACTAAACAGAACACTAAAAACCAGAACACTAAACACAAGAACACTAAAAACCAGAACACTAAACACCAGAACACTAAACACAAACACTAAAAACCAGAACAAACACCAGAACACTAAAAACCAGAACACTAAACACAAGAACACTAAACACAAGAACACTAAAAACCAGAACACTAAACACAAGAACACTAAAAACCAGAACACTAAACACAAGAACACTAAACACACACTAAAAACCAGAACACTAAACACAAGAACACTAAAAACCAGAACACTAAACACCAGAACACTAAAACCCAGAACACTAAAAACCAGAACACTAAACACAAGAACACTAAAAACCAGAACACTAAACACAAGAACACTAAACACAAGAACAACTCCAACACCTTCCACCAACATCAGTCCTGGTCTTACATGCAGCTTCAGGTCCTGAAAGCTCAAACTTTAAGATCCCAGTCAGAACCAGTCAACCTGAAATACCTGTCATACTTAAATCAAACTGAAATATTGAAAAGAAGAAAAAAAACTTTGGAGATTTGGTCAATGGTAACCAGAATAACAATGTTTCCGAGTGTTTGTCCCGTTTCCTACCTTCAGGGTTCTGTGATCTGTTTCTGCAGAAAACCAGCAGAGCCGCAGTCAACATGATGATGATGAAGATGAAGGCCAGACCCACGATCAGCAGAACGTCTGCAAACAGGACGTTTTGTTGGGTTATTAGTGTTGATGTGGGTTTCAGAGCCCAGCTGGACAAATATTGATCCCAAACATCCAAAAAGGTTTCATGTTTCTGATGTAACTTCATTATTATGTAAAGTGTGATCATGTATTTATGAATTATGTGTTATGTTTCTAATATGCATATGTAACTGTTTTTGTAATTAATGTTTTAACCCCAGGAAGAAAAGCCGTTGTTATGGGGATCCAAACAAACAAATCCTAAAAACATAAATTAGCATCAAACTGAGCATTTCTGTGCAAACAGAGTAAAATCTCTGCATGTCCAGCAGGGAGAGCGGTTGGACCTGGAGGTGATTTATCGCCATCAGCCAGAGCTGAACGCTTGGTGGCTGCAGAGGAACCTGAAGAGGTGAAACTCGATGCACTGGAGCTGAAACTCCTGGTTGTTGTTGCTGTAGTTGTTGTTGCTGTAGTTGTTGTTGTTATCGGTTGGACTGCTGGGAATTGGAAGAAAAGTTTAGCTCCAAATAAAACAGAACAAGTTTGAAATGAGCCAAGAAAAGCAGGTGGCTGGAAATCGCAATAATCAACAACAGTGTCATAATTTACATTAAAAGCAAATTTCATAAAATACCTTCAAATTACAAGGTGGGATGTTTTTAACACAAGCATTGTTACATTTTTATTTTAGATTGAAGAAGACTTAATTTTTATTTAACAAAAACTCACCATCTGTAACGGTCAGATAAAAGTCTCTGTGTGGATCAAAGTCGTACGCCACGTCCAGGTTACATCGGTACCGTCCTGAGTCAGACTGGGCAGCGCTGAGATGCTCACAGACAGAAATCCTCCTACATATTCAATGCTGTATCTGCCTGTTTTAGCTCTGTCTCCATCAGTCTCAATAAGAACTTGTTTTCTACATTCTCCTCTGCAGAACTGATGTTTTCTCCCATCAGAACCAAAGAAACAGGCGACTGTCAGTGAGCTGCCAGCTTCTTTATAGAGGTGATGATCTTTGCTTCCATCCAGCAGAGCTGTTAAAATAATCATCAGTTACTTTCTGACTCATCATAATAATCTGATCACATTAATCCCAGTGTCACATGGCAGCTGCCCAGTTGAACCAGTCTAAGTCTGGTGATCCAGTTCCACATTTTCTCTGGGATTTTAGCAGCTTTTCAGACTCACCTTCAACAACAACCAGTTCAAAGTCCTGGTATAAATATCTGGATGAATATGTCCACAATCCACATCGGTACCGTCCTGAGTCGGACCGGGTCAGCGCTGAGATGCTCACATACAGAACTCCTCTTTCATATTCAATCCTGTATCGTTCACTTCTCGCTGATGTTTTATGTGTTACAATGAGAATGTTTTTTTCTTCACAGTTTTCCCAGCAGAAGATCTTCCATCCTCCAGATGAAGGAAAGGAACATCTAATGTTAATTTCTTGTCCAGAAACTTGATAAAAACGCTTCACAGACTCATCGGTTCTGCTGTTGGTGATGTGCAGAGCTGCAGAACAGACCAACAGTTAATGTCAGGACTTCCTGTTGTTCTGATTCAGTTATGGACCGGCTCCAAGCGAGAGCAAAACCTCACGTCTCTGTAATAAACTCCTGATGAATTTCACCTTCAACCCCCAAGAATCCAAACATTAAAACTAAGAAGTTCTGAAACGATCCGATTGGAAACGGAAATGATCAAAATTAGATTCCAAGCTTAAATGTTGCAGCTTTAATGTTCAGGAAGCAGAAACATCTCAACAAGCCTCTGTTTTGCTCTGGTTATTTTAAAACTTCATCTTCCTTTTTTAAAGCCAACCAAACGCTCAGCTGCCTGCTGAAGTTTTACAGTTTCTGTTTACATGAACAGAATAATAAATTAGTGAAAATGTTTGAATGAAGGAAAGTGAACTCACGGAGGCAGACGAGGCAGAACCAGGTGAAGATCATGTTGAGACTCTGATGGATGGAAGTTGAACTTCTCTAAAGTGTTTCCTGTTCTAATGAAAATGTTAATTCTCTTCCTGCTTCTGCTTTTCAGCTGCAGCTCATTTCTTTATAACTATGCAGCATCACTGTGTCTTCATGCTTATTTGCATTTACAAATTATTTTACATCTAAACATTATGTTTCCAAAAGAGCATCTGACTAAAAGCTGCAGATAGATAAATAAAAAGGATCTGATACAAACTTATAAAACTAATTAATTACATATTACTTCCAGCTGAAATACTTCTGCAAATAAGCTCTTTAACTAAGGTTGTAAAGTTCAACTAAACTGAAAGTAAAAGCAAAAGATGAATAAGAAAAACTTTGGTTACGTTCACACTGCAGGTTTTAATAATCAATTATGATTTTTTTTTTATAAAAAACACATTTTTTTAGTTGTTCACATTTCCAAATATAAGTGATCACTCTTCAGATCACTCTCCATGTGATCTGAAGAGTGAACTGCAAATGACCGGGCGCCACAACGCAGAGGGCGCCATAACGCAGAGGGCGCCATAACGCAGAGGGCGCCATAACGCAGAGGGCGCCATAACGCAGAGGGCGCCATAACGCAGAGGGCGCCATAACGCAGAGGGCGCCACAACGCAGAGGGCGCCATAACGCAGAGGGCGCCATAACGCAGAGGGCGCCATAACGCAGAGGGCGCCATAACGCAGAGGGCGCATAACGCAGAGGGCGCCATAACGCAGAGCGCGTTCTGCCAACCCACATAAAGAAAACTCTGTTCTCTAGTGACACGAATTCTCTCGTTGTTTGTGGAAGTAAACATGGATGCTAATAATGCAGCATGTCTTATGAAGTTGTTGTCTGACTGCAGACAGAAAATGAACTTGATCCCTGCTACAGTTCACCCTGGTTGTTGTTTTTCTTTCCGTTTGCACCAATCAGGATGCATTTGCTGAATGTTGAGGATAAATGTTCAGGTTGGACGGATGCGACCGGGTGGGACGGATGCGACGGGTGGGACGGATGCGACCGGGTGGGACGGATGCGACGGGTGGGACGGATGCGACCGGGTGGGATGGATGCGACCGGGCCGTTCGGACTCAGCTCTGTATGTCAGATCAGATTCGTGTCGGATGGAGAACCGCACATCCAAGAGGCCTGATCCGCGTTGTTCAAACTGTCATGAAAAACTGCTGCATTTAATAGCAACTGCTGTTCTGTGTATCGACCATCTTGTCCCAATAAAACTTTTAGAAGTCAACCTTTAAAACGAGTATTAGATCCAAGACATACAGTAGAATATTACCGCAGTACAATTAATGGGGTTGTGCTTTTGTCTTTTAATTTTGCTTTAATCTGTTTCTTTCTGTATCTAAACATTAGAAGTTATAGTCATGGAGAAATTGAGTTTTGATAATTGCGTCAGTAGTAATAACTGGTGATAATTATTCTGTTGGAAATGTTTATAATGTGTTCATGGTAAGGTTGGGGTCAGGAAGTGACTCAGATGAAGTGAGTGAAAAGGGGAAGCAGAGTGAGACTGAAACAGAACGAGACAACATTTAACCTGAGCATAAAGAAGAAGTTCGTCATGGACTTTAACACGTTTCAGAACATCTAATGGTTTTATCTTTTGTTGTAGAGGTTGGTATTTGTGCAGACATGAAGGGATAATTATTTGCAGAACTGAACTGAGCGTCTGATGTCAGGGATGAGAAACGTGAAGGAACAAAGATCTTTGCAAAGATGTGCAGACCAGTTCTGCTGTGATGCAAAGACAACCAGACAGTCATAAAACCACAAAACAGAAACTCCAGTTTCACAATAAACCAGGCTTATTAAACAACTAACCCTTTTCTTTTCATGTTTTGATTTTTAAAAAGACTTAAAAACATCACGTCAGAGAAACCAACGTTAAAAATGATTCTTAACAGGTTGAGCAACAAAATATTATTAGCTTGAACCAAAATCAAAAGCAAAGTCTGATTTTCCAAGATTAACTTTAAGTACATTTTTATTTTTGCTTTTGTCAGTTTCAAGTTATTTCAGTGACTATCGAGGGGTTTTGGTCATAAACAAGAGAGGTGCCAACAATCTTGTCAATGTTTGAATAGAAAAGTAAACCAGGAAGTCAGCAGAGCAGATGAAACGGAGAACAGCAGCAGATTGATTGTTTCTTCTTAAAAATAAAAGCTTTTATGCTTTGGCTCAGTACAGTTGTATCCAAACACTTCACTTGTGTTTTAAACCATAAACGTTTAGAAACAATTGGATATGAATGCTGTTTTGGTGAGACTTCCTGGTTTCTAACGGCTTTCCGAAGTCTGCTGCTGAGGCGAGTGTTGACCTGAATCATCAGATAAATTAAGAAGCAGCAAAACTCCAGCACTCAGTGAATCCAACAGACATTATAATGGTCCCAGTTTGGGACCCTGGACCAGAACTAATGCTCAGGGTATTAACGGTTCGAGGAGAGGAAGATTTCCTGTTGACGCCTCTCTGGAATGAACCTTTAACTTATGTATTTATACATGTGTCCTCTCCAATGTGGACCCTCATGTGTCTGTTTAAATGAGGCTTTTGGTAAAATCTTTTCCCACAGACGTGACAGCCGTAGGGTTTTTCTCCTGTGTGGATCCTCTTGTGTTTATTTAAATTTGATTTGTGGTTAAATCTTTGTCCACAAACGTGACAACCAAAGGGCTTGTCTCCGGTGTGTATCCTCTGGTGGATGTTTAAAGTCGACTTTTGATTAAAACTTTGTCCACAAATCTCACAACCAAACGGTTTGTCTCCAGTGTGGATCCGGATGTGCTTGTTTAAACTCGACTTTTGATTGAATCCTTTCCCACAAACATCACAACCGAAAGGTTTGTCTCCTGTATGAATTCTCATGTGTTTGTTTACAGCTGACTTATCACTAAACCTTTGACCACAAACATCACAAACAAATGGTTTTTCTCCAGTGTGGATTCTGATGTGTATGTTTAAATGTGACCTTCTGTTGAATCGTTGCTCACAGAAAAGACAACCAAATGGTTTATCTCCTGTGTGAATCCTCATGTGCTTCTTTAAATTAGCCTTAAGACTAAACGTCTGTCCACAGACATCACAAGCAAATGGTTTGTCTCCAGTGTGGACTCGTGTGTGCATGTTTAAATCTGCCTTTCGACTGAATCTTTTCCCACAAACGTCACAACCAAAGGGTTTTTCTTCCATGTGGACTCTCTTGTGTTTGTTTAAATCTGACTTTTTGTTAAATCTTTGCTCACAATCATCACAGTGAAACGGTTTCTCCTCTGAGTGGTTCCTCATGTGCAGATTTAAGCTTGACTTTTGGTTAAATCGAACTTCACATGCACTACAACTGAACGGTTTCTCTCCAGTGTGGATTCTCCTGTGAATTTTTAGGTGAGACTTCTGGTTAAATTTCTGTTCACAGACGTCGCAGTTGAATGGTTTCTCTCCTGTGTGGATTCTCAGGTGTCGGTTTAAGGAGTTTTTTAGGCTGAAACCTTTCCCGCAGTCATCACAGGTAAAACCTTTTGAATCAGTCTGGATGTTTGCTGAGTCGACGTTTTTAGCCGAACGGTTTTTTCTTGAGCCATGTCTCTGGACGGAGCGCTTGTTACCAAACTGTTGACTGCACTCTGAGCAGCTCAGCGACTTGTTGGCGGCGTTTCCTCCTGACTCTGCAGCTCTAGTTTCCTTCCAGTCGTTCTCGCTGTCCTCAGTTTCAGAGCCAAAGTCTGGTGGGTGTTTCAGATGAGAACCAGGATGGTTCACATCCTCCTCCTCCTCCTCCTCTTCATCCCCACTGACCTCCGTCTCTGAAGAGCTGGAAGTGTCTGGGTTCCTGCTGGACTCTGCTCCTCCACTGTGCTCTCCATCCCTTTCTGCTTTCATCTGGCCAGCTGAGCTGCTGGTTGGAAGATCTCCAACTTCTGTCTGATGAAGCTGAGAGAACAGAGGTATATCTTCATCATCCTCACTCTTCATAAGAACCACAGTGAGTGGAAACCTGGTAGGATCCATCTCCTTCTTCACACTGAGCTCTTCATCCTCCATACTGCTCCAGACTTCCTCCTTCTTGATGTGGAGACGCTCTGCGTCCTGCTGGTCTCCACCAGGACTCTGCTCTTCATCAGCTTCTTCTTTAACAATCAGCTGCTCCTGAACACCTACAGAAAACACAGGAACACATTGTGAACAATTAGAGTTTAACATTTCTAACAAGATAAAACAGAAATAGAGGAAGAACTGATGCTGAGATCAATCACATGTTGATTAATGAAACTGGAAAAATGAAGGAAGTTCTGAGCTATAAAGAAATTATCTACCAGAGTTCTGACCAGAACCAGGAACGAGAACCTGGACTGGCTGCAGATGTTTGGGATAATATCAGGTTGATTATGGATTTTCCTCTTGACCATTTTTAATTCATGTGAAAATGTAAATAGACTATTTTTAAATGTATAATGTAGTTTTAACTACACATTATGTATTCTATATAAAACTTATTGTGTTACTTGAAAACAGAATTCTTCCTTTAATAAAAACGATTTGAGTCGACTCAGGTTTGCCTTCTGAGTCGTTTTATTTGGTCATTTTAAAGCCAATGCAATTATGTACAAATCATATAAGATCCTTTCTGTAAATATCAAGTTTACAGTCAATAAAGTGTTGCAGGGAAAATATATTACAAATAACCCAAAGTTCAAATAAATGATAAACTTTGTCCTGGCAAATATTCACTGTATGATTTAAAAAGTCATACAGATTTCATAATTGCGCAGCAGCATGTTGGATGTTTGCTGCATTAAAAACTGAACAACAATGTGACTTAAGATTAAAGATTTGTATAAAATCTATTGCTGTTCTGTTTGCAAGAGGTTGTAACTCAACAAGGTGTAAATTTGAGCTTATTCATAATCTTTTCTGCTTATTTGTATATGATTGTTGCCAGTTTCATTTGTTTTCTTCTGGAAGGGCCACAGTTCAGCATGTCTCTGGTTTTTATCTCTATAACTTGGTGCATTTTGATCAGGGATCCATGCAGACCCCTGCTGCGCAGCGAAGGTCCCCACATAAACTGGCCACCAGTGGATGTGACACACCGCAACAAGCCTCAAACAGACAGCAGCTTCTCGTTCCGGTACATCCGCCATCTTCCTAAAACTGCTGCTAAAGTCCACAGTGGATGTGAAAAAGGAAAAGCCACCGACCCGGAGTTTCCATCTGAGCGGCAGAGCTAAAAGCAGAATCCATGTTTCTGTTTTTCTTCCAGTCGCTGTTTGAGCTGCTGCCTCTGCATTTCCGGTACCGTTTCTGTCTCCGGTCCGGCCCGTAAACCGTTACAGTTCAATTTAAACCCGCCTTACGACCAAAACCAGGAGAAAAGCCTCGGGTCACCGCGGCCGGACTGAAGAGGAGCTGGAGTCTGCGCAGTAGGAGCAGAGAGGCCCGGACACGCAGAAAGGAACAAAAACCCGGAAGTCCCGCCCACACAGGGAGTCAGCTGCGAGTTAGTCTGTCCGCCATATTAGTAGGGCAAGGGCGAGCTATGTAAACATTAGTAATGGAAAGAATTGCGGTTTTAACCGGTAGAAAAGTAACTCACCTTGAAAATGCGATTTTAGACGTTTTTAATTGATCTTCCCGCAAAAATATTTTAATACTGATTTGAAATGCTACAAAAATAAAGGATCTGTTATTTTTGGCTTAAAATAAAGCTAAAAAGATCATAACAAAACGTGCAAATATGCAAATTTTAGAATCTGAAAGGAAAATTACAGTCCTGTGCAAAACTATTAATACCCATAAAACCTTCTTTTAACGTGGTTGTTAGCTGATGTCAGTCTGAACCAACAGTTTGTACAGAAATGGGAACCAAATGTAAAATGAAAAGCAAAAAGACCCACCAGCAGTGTTATAACGTCTAAGAAAACTAGATTTAAAATATAAAATAAATTAATCAAAATAGAAATGAGAGTAGCTCCAACTGCAGCATATCTGAGGAGCTCCTCAGAACTGGAGCTGATGTTTTTCATGGAAACATCCAGACGACCACATGGTTGTTTCAGGTTATTTCAGCCTGCAGTCCTTAAATCCACCTGCTCAGTCTTCTGCCAGCAGCAGGACAGCAGAGCTACGTCTCAGCTGTGATGGAGTACATCGACTCTTCCTCGGATCGGTTCAAATCCGTCATTTGGACCGCGAATGAACTGACAGCTTCTAGTCTGTCTTATGATTTGTACTTCTGCTTAACTTATACTACAGCGAAGATGTTATTGCACATGCACCGTCCAACCTAACAGCTCTTAAGGAGACGCAAAAATCAACGCAAGAAAAACTTTTCTCAGGATTTTAACTTAATTGTTTTTCTGCTGCAAAATTTTAATTCAAGCACATCAGTAATTTATCTTCGAAAGAAACCAGCTTTAAAAAAAAATCTAAGTTGCAATTATAAAGCAGCTGAAGCACAGATAGAGTAAAGACTGAGGCCCAGATTCTAAATCAGACCTTCTTCAGGTTCACTGACCAAACTGCAGCCATCAGGTCCACAACCCGAGTTCAGAACCCGAGTTCAGAACCCGGTTTCTGCTGGCAGGACAGACTCTGGTAGAAGAAATGATAGTTAAAGCTTTACAGAATGAAAGTTTGTTCCAGTTTAAGAACATTTTTACAATAATCTATTCTCAGGTTTTAAGATTTTACTGAAATAAAACTATTTGTACAAACTCTCTCCTCACAGCTTTATATTTTTACTCTAATCAAAGAGAATAAAATCACCTCCATCTTTACTCCATCGTCTCGTCTCCTCCTTGAATCTGTGAAACAAAGTTTCATTAGGAGAAAACGTCTGAAGCCTGGAAGAAAAACATGGATTCAACAAGAAAACAGGTTCTAAATATGGATGATCATTTGAAAACAGTAAAATAAGCAACATGAGCTTCTGCACAGAACCAGCAGAGAGGATGATGATGATGATGGTCAGAGTTGAACCCACAACCAGCAGCAGATCTATAGAGGTTTGGGAAGATCCACAGGTTTGGTTAACATGGAGTTATGGTGAATTAATGAGTCAAATGAAATATGACAAAACTATTCGGGTAAATTAAGCTCCCGGTAAGGAGAAAAAAAAAAAAAAAAACTCCATTGGTGAAAAACATGAGATGTGGACATTTGAATTAACTGCATTTTGGTGCAACATATTCAGCCTGACAAAATCATTTTGGATCCTTTTAAGCCATTAAGAGTGAAATGGTCTAAATCTATATTTTGTCTTTTACACAGATCGATTTAGTTAACAGGAATGAGATTTACACAAACGTATAGTTGCTGAATATTACTGCCCCAAAGTGGTCAAATTAAGTCATGTGTATCCAGCCTATAAGGGAGCGCAGCTTTGAAGGATTGGCTTTCAGCCACCATAAGGAAAAATAAAAACAAAGAGACAATCACTGCAGCAAGACATCTTTATTTAAACATTCAGAAGTTCAGACAATGATGCGTTTAATATTCTTCTCCTTCATCCTCATCTCCCAAGCTATCAGCACCAACCTCCTCGTAATCCTTCTCCAGAGCTGCCATGTCCTCCCTGGCCTCGGAGAACTCTCCCTCCTCCATTCCCTCACCCACATACCAGTGGACGAATGCACGCTTGGCGTACATCAGGTCAAACTTGTGATCCAGCCGAGCCCAGGCCTCTGCAATAGCAGTGGTGTTGCTCAGCATGCACACAGCCCTCTGGACCTTGGCGAGGTCACCACCAGGAACCACAGTTGGTGGCTGGTAGTTGATGCCAACCTTGAAACCAGTGGGACACCAGTCCACAAACTGGATGGAACGTTTGGTTTTAATGGTGGCAATAGCAGCATTGACGTCTTTGGGCACCACATCACCACGGTACAAAAGGCAGCAGGCCATGTACTTGCCGTGGCGAGGGTCACATTTCACAAACTGATTGGCCGGCTCGAAGCAGGAATTTGTGATCTCAGCTACCGTGAGCTGCTCATGGTAAGCCTTCTCTGCAGAGATCACCGGGGCGTAGGTGGCCAGAGGGAAGTGGATACGAGGGTATGGCACCAAGTTGGTCTGGAACTCAGTCAGATCAACATTCAGGGCACCATCAAAACGAAGAGACGCAGTGATGGAGGACACGATCTGGCTGATCAGCCTGTTCAGGTTGGTGTAGGTGGGGCGTTCGATGTCGAGGTTCCTGCGGCAGATATCGTAGATGGCCTCGTTGTCCACCATGAAGGCACAGTCTGAGTGCTCCAGGGTGGTGTGGGTGGTCAGGATGGAGTTGTAGGGCTCCACAACAGCAGTGGACACCTGGGGAGCTGGGTAGACAGAAAACTCCAGCTTGGACTTCTTTCCGTAGTCGACGGAGAGACGCTCCATCAGCAGGGAGGTGAAACCAGAACCGGTTCCTCCACCAAAGCTGTGGAAAATCAGAAAGCCCTGCAGGCCTGTGCACTGGTCAGCCTGAGGACAAATGAAAGACATGGAAAACTGGATGTTACCAGAGTACATTCCATTGTACTATAGAGCGAAGAAAACTCCCATGTAAATGTTCTCTTCCACATTCAACATTTTGCAATCTCCCCGTCTGAATTCACCCACCAGTTTCCGGATCCTGTCCAGAACCAGGTCGATGATCTCTTTGCCAATGGTGTAGTGTCCTCTGGCGTAGTTGTTTGCAGCATCTTCCTTCCCAGTGATCAGCTGTTCAGGGTGAAACAGCTGGCGGTAGGTCCCAGAGCGAACCTCATCTGGAAAACACAAATTTACAGAATGAGCATTTTAAAAGGTAGTTTTCAAAATTAATCACAAATAGTCAAACTTACCAATAACAGAGGGCTCCAGGTCAACAAAAACGGCTCTGGGGACACGCTTCCCTGCTCCGGTCTCACTGAAGAAGGTGTTGAAGGAGTCGTCTCCTCCTCCAACGGGCTTGTCACTGGGCATCTGCCCGTCCGGCTGGATGCCATGCTCCAGGCAGTAGAGCTCCCAGCAGGCGTTGCCGATCTGGACACCGGCTTGACCGACGTGCACCGAGATACATTCACGCTGAGGGGAAGAAAATATCCTGCTCAAAAAAATAAAGGGAACACTCAAACAACACAATATAACTTAGAGTAAATCAAACTTCTGTGAAATCAAACTGTCCACTTAGAAAGCAACAATATCACCTGCTGTTGTGAAAATGGAATAGACAACAGATGGAAATTATTCATATTTATTTCATTCAGACCTAGGATGTGTTATTTGAGAGTTCCCTTTATTACTTTAGTTCTTGTAAAAAGTGTCTTTTCTGAAGAAAGCCACGTCTCCGATTATAGTCAACAGCTTGAAGGTCATAAGTCACATTGTGTGCACACTGCAACTCGCTTATGGGGGAAAAAAAAAAAAAGTCAAAACACGTTCTTTTATGAGGAATTAAAAACCAGAACAGGAAGACTGTGATCACTTGGGGCATTAGGCAAAGAATCACACCCCTAAGAGATAAATGTATTTCTGTTCACATTAGAGTTGGGTGATGGAAGCGAACAGCACAGAACAGCACAGCTGCAACGGATTAAATGGGTCAATATGAAAATTCGGCAACACAAGCTGCCAGTTCAACCATGAACAGCAGCGAAGCCGAGAGCATTAACCTTTTGTCACAAAAGACAGACTGTGGTTTCAAAAGAGGCCCAGCAGGCCTCTCCAAAAAGGCGCTGAAACAGAGGAATGCGTCACGCTCTCCGACATGAGGCCAAACAACAGCCGGAAACACGCCCAAGACTCAACTTACATTTCGGCTGAGAGGCCTGGCCACTTTCGATAAAATAAATTAATATCCTCCCTTCTGAAAGATTATGTCCAAATACATAAAAACCATAAACAACCTTAAATAAGTAAATACCAAAATTACCTGATGCAACCATTGTTTAAGCTCAAATGACTCAAAAAACCACCACTATTAAAATAAATTTAAAAAACAGACTGATGCATTTATAGTTTCATACTCACCATGTTTCCACAAAAACTGAAATTCTAGGATAAGGACAAAGAACAAAACGTAGTTTTCTCTCACGGAAAGACTGTTAAGAGTCTGTTGCAAGAGAGGAAACTGATAAAGAGAAGAAAGAAAGGCGGCGCCTATATACCGGCTTATCGAGGCAGGGCTTAATCTTATTGGTTGGATGTCACATGACACGTATTCCTATTGGTTGAGATCAAATTAAATTGGCAGATAATGTTACGACACAGCACGAGGCCTCGAAAAACCAGCACCTGTTCTGAGTTAAGTTGCGTCTGTATTAATTAAGGCTGCTGTCGTCATTTTAATTAATCATTTTTTGAAAGCATATTATTGCTTCGTTTTATTGGATGCTGGCTAATCACTAACATCATAAACGTTTTAAGCATCAGTTTACAAAAGACAATGACGTCTTATTAAAGAAATCTTAGTTATAAATGTCATGGAGGTAAATGTAGTCTTATCAATGTACACTGTCACAACAACACAATAACACGGTTTTACTCAGTGAAATAGGACAGCCTTGTGTTGTTTTCTGCGTTTTTAAAGATGCCCCTCACAATATGGCGCCGACGTTGACGTAAGGTCGCACATTCGCGCTCCAGTTCTCTGTGCCAGCGATTAGCCAACGGCCATAACACGAAACTGTGCTGTAACTTCTTATAACAGTGACGCATTACGGCTGTTGAACCCCGTAGGTGAAAACACACAGACACAAGTTTAAACTTATTTTAGATCAGGCGGACTTCCTGGTTTTTGAGCGAGATCACGTTGTGTCGTCACATTATCTGATTTAATTTTAACCAATAAGAATGGGTGTCACAAGGCATCCAACCAATGGATTAAACCGTGCCTTTCAAATGGGAAGCCGTTATAAAGAGTGCGACCTCGCTTCCTGCTGCTTTTGCTCAAGGTTTTTCTATGGGAGAAACTAGTTTTTCTCCTCTTTTCTCATCCCAGCACTTTAGATTTCGTTCATAAAGATGGTTAGTGAGAATCTGTAGCTTATTGACTTAGTTGGACAAATTGTTTGTCTCTGCATCCCCAGAGGTACAACCAAACATAGAGGAGTACTGTTGTTTTTATGTTAATCTGGAACAATTTCCAGTGAAATGTAAATATTTTGAAACACTAAAAATCTTTAGAGCAAAGCCAGACAAAACCCAGTAAAACTAAACATGGAAGAAATGACAAATATGTTCATTTTGTAGTGTCTTTTAAACTAGTTCTTCTAACTCTTATGTATTCAAACATTCCACAACTTGAAGCCAAAAAATTGTTTATACACAGATTTTAGATTGCAAAAGGCACACATAAAAAGTTTCACTATTTTGCTGCCAAGAGAACTTTCAGACCATTTCTGTTCCTTTTAATACTGATTGAATAAAAGAAAACAATAAGGTCTAGTTTTTATTAAGTCAGATTTTCATTAGGAGTCAGGTAGAGGAAGGGAATTAAAAAGCTATGTAGATTATGGAATATTTAGCATTGCTATCCAAAACTATAGTGTGTTTTGTCTTGTTTTTACTGTACTTCATCCTGAATTCATTTAGTTTCTCTTGCATGTCTCAAAAGGATTTCTAGTTCATCATGAAGCACTTTTACTTAAAAATAATTTACATATTCCCTCCAGATCTAAACACAGAATTGTTGTAACTTAGAATCAAGATCAGCTTTATTCATCAAGTTTGTGCAGAAACAAAATTTGACTTTGGTTCCTTTTTACCGTGAATGAAAACACAGAACTAATGGGAAATCTCTCTCTTAAGTCTTTTCTTCTCTGCCTTCATCAGAGGTAGTAGTCTTCCTCTTCGATGTCTTCGTGCATGTCCTGGAAGCCCAGCGCCTGGATGTCGTGGGTGATGTCAGTGATGCGTCGGTTAAATTCCTGAGACCCTGTTGCTAAAGAGTCGTTGTCGTACCTACTGAGAGAGGAATAGCTGTTATCTTGCTGACAGGTTTTTGTATAGATAGAAGAACTAAATCAAATCAAATGCAGGATCTGAACAAAAAAAAAAACAGGCCAGCAGAATTTAAGTCAAATGTCACACTTTTTCTTTCCACTGAATTTTCTCTTATAATAAGTTTGAATACAGCTATGTTTTAGCAATGTTTTGTTGAAGCTTATAATTCTGACTGACTGTCAACACAACAGTCTTCTCTAAGGTTGTTTAGGTCAGTTTCAGAATTAAAAATGTTTTGTCATCTTATAATTTTTGTTATAGAGAAACCACAATTTGTGTTTTCATTTGTTATAATCTTCAAACTAGACAGAAATAAGCTCTTAAAATAGATCACTTTTTGTGTGATGAATCAATCATGAAGTGAATTATTGAAAATAAACTTTTCACGTCCGTTTCCACGTATCCTCTCATGGCCGTGGCTGAGGTGTTGCTCATGCTGCGTTTAATACGTCCAAAGCTGTCGGTTAAAATCCCGCCTTCTCGGATCCCGATGCTTTCAAGGAACTCCTCGAACACGCCGACGTCTTTGTCTGGAATAAACGGCCGCATGCCTGACAAAAAACAAAACAAAGGATGAACATGTTAATGAGCCCAAATGAAACAAACCAGGATTCCAAGACAGGAACTGAAACTTTTCTGAAAAACAGACTTTCCCAAAACAATGTTGTATTTCCACAATTAAGACATTAAAATGTTCAACAAATCACTCTTGGATAACAAAATGTGGAAGAAAATAATCTACATTACAATTGTTTTTCTCTCTGCTTTCCTTTGTTTACTTTTTTAGTAGCATCTTAACTGAAATATTTACATATTTTTCTTTGAAAAAGTCCTTCTGTGAATCTGCACATGGTTTTAGATATTAAATTTGAGGTTTCAGGACTTAATTCGCCTCTAGCTGTTTTTACCACAGAGTGCTTTAGATGTCAGCATGATTCATATTAAATTATTCAGGTTGGGCTTCAATTCCGGTTTATTTTTAAAATGATACATCATAAGTTGAAAACAGCCACAGGTTATATATTCGAAACTGTTTGCTAGTGCTAATGTATGCAATTATCAAACCAGACATGCAACTGAAGGTGGACCGACTCTTCCAAAAGTTCACACAAATTCTGTGAAGATGTCGGCTTTATTTAGAGGTATGTCCACCTAAACTAAATATATATCAGAGGCACATCAGGAGAATGAATTTTGAACAACTTTAAGGATATATGAACAAGATAAACAACTATACTGATTGATTCTTCTTAGCCCTATATTGTGTTATATTGACTGTGTATGTTTTCTCATATATGTGATGCTTGGCATGTTGAACTGAATGTCCTTTTGTACAATATTTTTTGTTTTCGTATATTTTATTTGTTTTGCTTTATGGCCTCTACTTTGCATTTGTTTATTTTGTAGTTACTTATATTTTGAATTTATGGAATCTACGTACATATTTTTACTTTTGCAGTTACTTTTATTCTGTCTGTGCATGTTCAGTATTTTTAGTTGTATCTGGGCACCTCAGGAAGAGTAGACAGAGCGAACTGCAACCGATCCAAATAAAAGAAAACAATAACTCCGTCTCGGTCTCTCATCCAGCAGCAGGAATTTGCGCTCGTCTCCGTACAGCTGCAGCAGCTCAGAGCAGAAGTGGTCGATGTTTGAACCCAGCCTGTATTCTCTCAGCAGGACTGCAAACTGCTGCAGCTCCAGAGGATTCAGCTTGTTCCTCAGCTGCACACACACAAAAACACACACAGAGGTTTATTTACTTTATATGCTGGAGATTCAGTTTCCTTCCATGGTTTCTGTTTTTTCGTCTTTCAAAACGTATTGGAGCCAAACCCGTTCCGCCTCGCTTTATGTTCTACTTGTGAAAATTGTGATTGTTGAAAACACTCACTGTGATCATGTACTCCTGCATCAGCAGCAGGGCGGGGTCGCTGTCTGCTCCGTCACTGGCTGATGCCAGGCTGCGATGGGAGTCCTGCAGCGAGATGGACGAGCTCTCACTGTACGTCTCACTGTAGTAGAGCTCAAAAGCCTCCTGGGAGCCGTCACTTACAGAGACAGGAGGACAATGGCTTCTTAGAGGATTGCAGCAATATTTTAAAAGATATAAACACACAGAAAGCAGTCATAGTTATTGTTCCACAGAGAAGTTTATTGCAGATGTGGCACCTCATGTAAAAATTAAATGTATAAGATCCGATAGTGGAACTGAATTTATGTCCAGAGAGTTCCAATCATTGCTTAGTCAAAATGCCATTAGACATGAAACTTCAGCCCCTTATTCTCCCCATCAGAATGGGACAGCTGAGAGAACATGGAGAAATGGCAAGATGCATGCTAATTGAGAGTAATCTGCCTAAAGATTTATGGACATATGCAGTTCAGACGGCTGCTATTATCCGTAATAGATGTTACAACAGACGTGTTGAGCAGACTCCATATTACATGTTAACTGGAAAGAAACCAGACCTTTCAAAAATGAGAACTTTTGGATCTGAATGTTATGCATATAAATATGACAAGAAAAAGTTGGATCCACGTTGTGAAAAGGGGATTTTTGTTGGTTATGACAAAAATAGTCCTGCATATCTCATCTTTTATCCAAATACAGGGCGAGTACTTAAGAACAGGCTGGTAAAGTTTACCACAAAAAGTACCTATGAATGTGACACTCAGACTGACGATGACATAAATGAGAATATTTTACTCAAGAAGAAAGTTGAAAGTGTACAATTGAAACCAGATTTGAGAACAGTTATCTCACAAGAGGTGAAAACTGAGTCTTGTGATAATGATGAGAACTTAGATCAAATTGGAGGTAACCCTGGTGTACGTTATCCTAAGAGAGACAGGAGACCTCCTAAGTATTACACAGATCAGGATTATGAAATGAAATGTGAGGATGATCAAGCACACATGAACATTGACTATTGTTATAGGCTTGCATGTGATGTGCCTAAGACAGTGGAAGAAGCTATGAGCTCACCACAATCACAACTATGGGCTAAAGCTATGAAGGGTGAAATGGATTCTTTGATAGAGAATAATACTTACAGCCTAACTTCATTACCTGAAGGTAAGCAAGCAGTGGGGGGTAGATGGGTATTTAATATTAAAGAAAATCCTGTGGAGACACTTTATAAGGCTAGATACATAGCAAAAGGCTATAGTCAGGTTGCTGGTATTGATTATGAGACTTTTTCTCTGATATGACATCTGTGCGTGTTCTGATGCAGCTTGCTGCTCAATATGATTTGGAATTGCACCAAATGGATGTCAAAACGGCATATTTACACGCCCCTATCGATTGTGAGATATTTTTAGAACAACCCGAAGGATTTGAGGTGGTAACAGAGACAGGAGAAAAATTAGTCTGTAAGCTTAACAAGTCACTTTATGGTCTGAAACAGTCAGGACGAAATTGGAATAAAATGTTACATGATTTCCTTATTGAAATTGACTTTGTGCAGAACCCTGCTGACTATTGTGTTTACAGTAAAGAAAATGAACATGAGAGAGTGATCTTGATTATTTGGGTTGATGACCTTATTGTTGCAGCTAGTAATGATCAAATACTCAAAAGTGTGAAGGAAATGTTGGCTGCTAAGTTTAAAATTAAAGATCTTGGGAAACTGAAATATTTTCTAGGGATTGATTTTACACAGAACCACGGTCAAGTAAAAATGAACCAGAAAAGATGCATTATAAAAATATTGGAGAGGTTTGGCATGACTAACTGCAAACCAAGGTCAACACCCTGTGAAAATAAAATGAAGTTTGACAGTGAAGGTCAACCTGCTGATCATAAAAGATATCGTGAAGTAGTGGGAAGTTTGATCTATGTAATGATGAGCACTAGACCAGATTTGAGTTTTATTGTCAGTAAGTTGTCACAATACTTGTCTGAACCAAGAGAACAACATTGGGTTGCAGCAAAGCATGTATTGAGGTATTTGAAATGTACACTAAATCAGGAATTATGCTTCAAGAAAAATGAACTAAATCTTAAACTTGTGGCATTCTGTGATGCGGACTGGGCAGGAGACCAGAAGGACAGACGAAGTATGACTGGTTACTGTTTTAGTCTATCTGAAACTGGACCCATTATTTCCTGGAACCAAGAAAAGCCAGAAGGTTAAACAGCTGGAAACGGGTGAGTGGTGTATGAGGTTACGGATGTGCCTGATGGTTTAAAGACCGAATAAAAATGAAAACGTACTCACAGAGGAAGAAGCAGCAGAACAAAGTTAGACGAACGCTCATGGTGGAGCTGACACTCTGCTGGCCTCTCTTCTGTTTCATCGCTTCGGTTTTCTCACCTGCAGATAGCTTTACACCAACATCTTCTCTCAACGGAAAGGGGTCAGACGCTTATGAAAAATATCATTAAAAAGAAAATGATGACAGGAACAGACCAACTGCATTGAAGCCTTCAGCTGCAGAGAGAAAATAGGATGGGTTCGTTTTAAAATCATAAATAAATTTGGAAAAATTACTACAGGCTGATCTTTACAAACTTAAACCGTCCTTCTAAGTGAAAGCATGACAACAAACATTAAAGATCCAATAAACAGCAGAAAATGGTTTCCCAGTACTAATAATTCTACAGCTCAGAGTGAGGAGATTAAAATCTTCCAAATCATTTATTATTCTGAAATTTGGCAAATATAAAAAGCTCTGATCATCCAACCTGACCCAGAAGAGAAAACGTTCACTTTGATTCAATGTCAGGGAACCAAAATGAAGTCTTGTTTTTATAACACAAACAAATTTGAACAAGTTGCACAAAGTCCAACGAAGGAAATTCTTTAAAATATTCTTACATGTACAGAATTTCTGGTACAAAATACTTTTTCATATTCAGCTGATAATCCCACCACATGAAGTCCTCAGTTTGTGACAGTTATCCATGCAGCAGATCAAAACAAGGAAGTGTTTGTGTCCAGACCAGGAGGCACGTAGAGGTTTCTCCAGACGCAACAAAAAAACAGATTGGAAAAAACAAACATTTCTCCTAAGAGCAGACGAGAGAATGACGTAAAGTTCATTCAATTACCTTCCAATCATCTGACAAAAAAATCTTTGTCCGTCGACACACACCAACTAAAACAAAAGTTTGAGGAATTCAAAAAACATTTTTTGTATTTACATGGCAATTTCATAGAAACAATTTAAACAAAAAGCATTCTTGAGAAGAAACCTTTGATTTGACTGCAGCAGGCATGTAGTTTTTATAAAGTCTAACAGAGAAAAGATGTGTACTGTAATATCCCATGTTTTTACTGTATAGTTTAAAGAATCATGGTTCAAAAGTAAAACAGCTGAACTTTAAAGCTTTACATTTAAATCTGAACACTTTCTCCATCCTTGTGGACATTACTGTGTTTGATTAAATGTGACTTTAGATTAAATCTTAGTCCACAGACATCACAGCCAAACAGTTTGGCTCCTGTGTGAAGGGTCATGTGTTTGTTTAAATGTGCTTTCTGGTTAAACCTTTGTCCACAAACATCACAACCAAAAGGTTTCTCACCTGCATGGATTCTCAAGTGTCTTTTTAAAGCCGACTTCTGGTTGAATCGCCGTCCACACACACAGTCAAATGATTTTACCTCACAGTGGATCTTCATGTGTTTCTTTAAAGCAGACTTTTGTATTAAACGTTGTCCACAAATGTCACAAGCGAATGGTTTCTCTCCTGTGTGGGTTAGCTTGTGCAAGTTTAAATGTGACTTTAGGTTGAATCTCTGATCACAAACACTACATCTATATGGTTTCTCCCCTGTATGGATTCTTACATGTTTGCTTAAATATGACTTCAAGTTGAATCTTTGTCCACAGAAATCACAGCCATACGGTTTCCCTCCAGAGTGGATTTTGGCATGCTTGTTTAAGTTGGATTTTTGGTTAAATCTTTGTCCACAAACATCACAACCAAACGGTTTCTCTCCTGTATGAATCCTCATGTGTATGTGTAAGTATGACTTCAGGTTAAATCTTTGTCCGCAGACATCACAACCGAAGGGTTTTCCTCCCGTGTGGATTCTCATGTGCTTGTTTAAATTAGAATTCTGGTTGAATCTTTGTCCACAAACATCACAGCCAAAAGGTTTCTCTCCCGTGTGGATTCTCTTGTGCCTGCTTAGATGATTTTTCCAACTGAAACTTTTACCACAGTCATCACAGGTGAATAATTTGACATCAGTCTGGGCTTTCCCTGGACTTAGTGTGTTGACATTTTTCTTCCCTTTAGTACTTTTACCTTTAGTTGCCCGGCTTGAAGACCTTCCTGTTGAATGATGGGTCATGTGTCTCTGAGAGCGCTCGTTAACAAACCGTTTACGGCACTCGCAGCAGCTCAGTGAATTGACGGCGTTTTCTCCTGACTCAGGAGCTCTGCCCTCCTTCCAGTCAGTCCCACTGTCCTCAGTTCCAGATCCAGAGTCTGACATGCGCTGATGCTGGGAGGCAGGATGGCTCCCTTCACTTTCACCACCATCATCACTGTCACCATCATCATCATAATCATAGTCACTATCACCATCATCCTCCTCTTCATCCTCACTGACCTCTGTCTCTGAAGAGCTGGAAGAGTCTCCATCAGCGTGTTGATCTGGGTTCCTGCTGGACTCTGCTGCTCCACCGTCCTCTTCTTCATTTTCTGCTTTCATCTGGTCAGCTGAGCTGCTGGTTGGAAGATCTCCATCTTCTGATGAAGGTGTGAGAACAGAGGTTTCTCTTCATGCTCACTTTTCACAAGAACGACATTTAGTGGAAATGGATCGGTCTGCTTCTCACTGAGGCGCTCTCCCTCCAGGCCGGTCCAAGGTTCTTCCTCTTCCTGCTTGATGTGAAGCAGCTTTGGATCCTGATGGTCCGCACCTGGATTCGTTTCTTCATGAGCGTCCTGACGAGAATGTAGCTCTGGGTTCCTGCTGGATTCCTCTTCGTCGGTCTCCATCTTGTCATCGGAGCTGCTGGCTGGAAGACAGCGGCCTTCTGCTCGTTTCTGATGAAGCAGTGAGAACTGAGATTCATCATCTGGTTCCTCCTTGATGCGGAGAGCTTCTGGTTTCTGCTGGTCCACGGCAGGAATCGGCTCTTCAACAGCCTCTTCTAGAGCAACCACAATCTGGGGAACATCTGCGAGCAACACCCAAACATGTTCATTACAGACAACTGCAAGTCATTTCAATTTATTGCAAGGTAATTAGCGTAGCTATGAGCCCTCTGGTTTTCAGAAGATAGGACAGGAGTACTTTTGAGGTTAAAGCAAAGTAAACCTGGTTGGAGAACATTTTGTTAGTCTCAGCTGCGTCTATGAGAGAGACTGAAGGCAACAAGTCTGCATGGAGCCAACACGGGAGTGAGAAAATGAAAAACGGAATGAGTTGTTTTGAGTTAGTTTTCCCACTGCACTAAATGAATCCTCCCTTCGTCTCCAGGTTTCTCTAACGGACCGGTTCTACCGGATACGGACGGCATGTGAAGAACAGTCTGATTACGGGGATAAATCTGTGGTTCAACCTTTAATGGTTTGACAATATGTTCTGAAATGACCTCATTTTGTTGGACATCCTCCATATAAAATCCAAACCACTGCCAGATTATTGATCCAGCTGTTTCTCTCCAGAACTAAACCAGTTCATCTGATTCCTCTTCAGTTTCCGTGTTTGTTTTCTCTGCGCAGCCTGATTGGTAGAAAATGTTCAGGTTGGGGGGAGGGACTAGTGATGCATTCAAGGGTGTTGGATAAACCATACTCGCAGTGAATTTTTACTTTGAACAACAATTTATACTCGATGGTTGCGATATCACCATTTTAACTATTGTAAATTAAAATATTGCGATACATCGAGTATACTTGATACATCGCCCAGCTCTACTTCAAGGTCCACGAGAATGTGGTGTCCAATTTTTGATTTGAAAATTATTACACACTGAGGGGGAAGAAGCACTTTTATCCTTAAAATGAATCATAATCAATAACAGAATTCAGTCTTGCCAAACGAGGTGCAGCTTTCCTAATTTAATAAATTAACAGTTTTCATCAGGAATGTAAAAAGCAGCTGTGATTGTTTGATACTCAATTACAATTTTAAATCAATTTCAGGCTCTGAAATTAATCAAAATGATTGGATTTTAATAAACAATCATGTTAACAAAATAAGCACCATTTTTAATTAGAAACAATTTGACGCTCAGTTATTATATGAGTCAACATTTCAGCTGAACAACAAAGATATTGATAGTTTTTAATCTGTTCTTCAACCACCACATTGGAGCAAAGTGTTTTTCTATCTGTTCATCTTTCCTGAGATTCTCTGATCATTCATGGAGATTCTTTAGAAATGCAGATGCTGAAATTAGAGTTCGCTGCTACATGTTTATGCAGCAGAAATTCATTCTGGCTCTACATTTCTGCATGCTTAAAGTCATGAGACATGCAATAAATTGCGCTAAAATTTTTAATGCGCTAAAATCCATGTAATTAGTTGAAATGATAAACATTGACACAAACATTTGCTTCTTACTCTGGCCCCTGCTGGCTTGTGACTTTAATGGCTGCTGTGTGCTGGAAGCTGGAGCAACGAACAGCACGCCGTACTGACGAGGGTCATTCCGCGTCACAGCAGTCAGGCGAGGGAAACCTCGCCCCGACGCCACCCGCTTCCCTACAATGGCCCTCTGAATCTGTGGGATGTAGCCGTAGTTCTTTTCCTCCTTTATAGCATACAAACACCACTTTCTGGATTTCCTGTTGTAAAGTTTGCGATATCTGAAATTAGATGTTAGACAAACAATAAAAAAACAGATGAAAATATTTATATCCAAAGTCCTTCTTGATAGAAATACAAACAAATAAAAGCTAGTACATACTCTACGGAGCCGTCGGGTTTTCTCTGGGCGGTCTGTGAACATGGTGGTTGTAATCCAGGCCAGCCAGGAAGATCCGGGCTTCATAGACCGGACGGCTGAAACTGAAGTGTTTGCTGGCATACATCAGGATGTGGTTATGGAAAGATTCCAGCTCAGCCGTTGACCTAAAATTTCAATGAGACCTGTCAGGTCATAAAGCTTTTTCTCAAGCACAATATATGCAGAAACACAGAATAATTAAACATATTTCTACCTAAAGTGCAAGTACTTGTGTACTTCCCTAAGCCAGCGTTGATTCAGAATAATTTCCGATAACGCCTGATGGGCCACGGAGCCGTTTTCTATCCAGGCCTGGTCTCTGCGGTCCCCGGACGGACGCTGACCGGCGTGCAGGGGCCACTCGTGCTCTCCTGTCACATGGTTAAGAAGGCCAGCCCACATGTCCTAAAAATAAACGGTTTAAACTTACATTCTTCAAATATACAATTGGTATAGCAGTTGCATTTTTTCCACAATGTTTCACTCTTGATATTACGGTTATCAATGTGCAGTAATGAATACCAACCTCTAAACTGGTTTAACACAGCAACAACAACTCAATGCTGAAGTGCTAGAAAAACTACATGCAGGATGTTTGATTGCGACTCACATAAAAGTTTTCATAGTTTTCAGTCATCTTGCAGCAGAACCAGAAGTAGTTGCAGATATCTTTGATCCACTGCAGCAGGACGGAACAACCCTTTTGCTGCCCTGCCTTAATCAACACAAATACAGAAATAACAAAATGAAATATTGGAGAAAAATATTTTTGATTTCTTAATTTTAATCACAGGAAAACTTACTGCATGCATCTTCTTGGCCAAGTTTTTGGAACCATGCCACATGTCCAGAGTGTGCAGCACGCCGCTGTCCTTATACTGTCCTTTGACTGGGTCTGTCAGACAACAGCATAACAGGAATGCAATTAGGAATACTGTTGCATTGACAAACAAAGTCCTGAGAGGTCAAGGATTTACCATAATTTCCAGATTAGTGAGCAGAACGAATATGAGATAAACTCACAAGCTTTGAAAATAAAGTTGTATGAATACTGGCCGCGCTCGTCTGTGAGCCACATCACAATGAGATATTGCTGTTGAATAATTTGAAGTTCATGCAAAAGCTTGGTCTCTTCATGAAGATGACAAGCTAAATTTTATACCCCTTATTGGCCCCCCGCCCTCCTAACGGTGCCAGAGATCTTCGGTACAAACACCGTCTACAAGCTTCCCTAAACCCTCACAGTATAAAACTGTAGAGCTTCACACTGTAAAATCCGACAGTATGAATATTTAATATAAATCTAGTTTTATAGCCGACACATTGACCGGTTGGGAGGGGGGCTCCAAACATTCATCTCTCTCTGCAGTTTATGCTGTTCATCACGCAGCAGTCCAGCCTTTGCACCAATCCAATGTTCAAAGCGTGTGAAAAACATGGCGGGTTGTGGTCTGGACTTACCGAATAGAGCGGATATCTGTGACCGTGAATCTGTGCAAACTTCACTGAGTTTAACCTCTTGGTGGATTTGGTCAAAGCTCCTGATGAAGCCTTCTCTCTCCATCATCACAGAACTCCTCTGCGTCTCTCCCTTGTCAATGTTGACTATTGACAGGATTTCTTTGGTTTCGTTCTCCATGATGGTGTAGGTGCAGAACTGAGACGACCCAAGACTGTCCATATGACCATCAGCTTCAAAAAGTACCAAATGCACAAGAAAAAGATTCATCATCAAAGCAGGAGAAACAGAGTTGCATGTGAACATTGGCTGAGGTTCTAAAACTGACCATCAGACTCACCAAGTACAACAACATTTTCCTTTGATCCCAGCCTGGAAACCACGTCGGCTCTGCTGTTGTCCCAAAAGTCCTTGATGGTTCCAACACAGAATGTGTCCTGTATTTTCAAGAAGACTGACCAATCCACTATTCCCATCTTCATAAACTTGAAAAGCAACGCAACTTTGGCATAGTTGTTGCCCGACAGGATGATATTTGATGCCAAAAGGAAGTCGCCAGCTTGCATCCCGTCTTTGAAAGTGGGCTGGGAGTTCCACTCCCACACACAGTGATTGTTAGAACACATCTGGAAAACAGGTTTAAAATTATTTAGCATTACTTTCTAACCATCACAACAATAATACAACAGAGAGCAGCGTTTCCTCAGGGGCAACTCCAGGCCTGCAGGGCCTCCTGCAGCTTTTTGATGCGTCTCTACTTCAACACACCTGAGTCAATAATGAGGTCATCAGCAGGACTCTGACTGCACTTAGGAGTTGATTCAGCCACTGGATTGATCAGCTATTCTAGTGTGTTGGATCAGGGAGACATCTAAGCGCTGCAGGTCCAGGATGACCCACCCTGCTGTCGGGGGACATTTCAGGGTTTGTAGATTAAAAGCCCCAGATTATTTAAGGTGATTATCAAACGGTCAATACTTTCATATAAAACTGATTTTATCCACTGATCTTTTTTCTACCAACGTTTGTTCAACAGTAGTCTTCCTGCTATTGTCAACTCTGAAACTTTTTTGTTTAGACACAAATTGGTTTCCGGCTAAAATCAGATATGCTTTTTAAATATCTGTGATTGGCCAGAAAACTGCATTCGGTGCAGCCCTGCTTTCTGTCGCTGACAGCAGTCAGTCTGTAGAGCAATGGAGTAATGAGCATCAATTCAAATAAAATACATTTAACAGCTATTAAAGAAATACTTTAACATCTCTGGCATTGAGATTTTCTGCTCTGTTGTGTTTATTTAGAAATAGCATATCTCTAAGCATTAACATTTCAGTTATTTAGTAACTGTGATGTTACTTCAGTCATTTATTTAAGGATTTGTGATATTTAGTGATCTGAATATTATGTGTGTTCACCCGTGTGAACACAGCTGACTCAGCGCCTGTGAGAGTCACAGACACGGAGCATCAGCTCTTGTCAAATTTGAAAGCTCACAATCTGCTGGCGCTAGCTGAGCTAGCAGTGTGGCGTCATCGTAAAGCACGGCTGTAGACCGATGTTGAGAGCGCGCTACCAGTAGATGAATGACTGCGTACAGATGGAGAAAGCTCACAGCAGATAGTGTGCTGTGACAAAGTCAATATTAACTGTGAACACCTGCAATTCCTACATGCTGTGATCTTCTTGGTGCGGCAGGCGCTCTCGTTGGCTTGGCGCTCTCTTGGGGAAACACTGGAGAAGTAAATGAACATACCCACTGCATGATGACAGCTGTTCCTCTGGACTTCATCTGGACTTGGAATGGCCCAGTTGCCTGGCACTCCACCAGTGTCACTGGGTCTTTAGCCGAACACACCGGAATGGGCAGCAGCAGGTACTGAGCGAGTTGCATCAGACAGACGTGATAGGTGATGGCTGCCGGATGATTAGTGATGTCATCCTCACTCTGCGCTGGTTGGGACTCGGCTGACTCTGTGCCCAGGGTGTCATGAACTGTGTCCTCCATGCCGACGGCCGGAAGAGCATCCAGAGATAACTTGTGTTCACCGGCACCAGCAGAGCTGATCGAATACAAAACAACAATGAGAAAGGAAAATTATATTCATAAAAAATGACTTTTAGTTGGGAACTTACCGAACGCATAAAGGGGATGTAATCCTCCTCCTCCTCCTCCTCCTCATCAGTGTCGACAAGGTAACTGCCTTCCCCCATGCTGTTCTCTTCCTCTGAAGCTGAAACGTCTCCAGTGTCGTCCAGCAGAGGCCGGGTCCAGTCCCCAGCCCAGTCGATGCTACCAACCACAATATTAGTCTGACAGCAAAAGGTCATTTCAGGTTAAATATGTATAAATGCTACTCACACAGAGTTCTGAATGTGATTGAAGTCACTTTCACTGATGTCATCATGAGTGTCCAGCGATAAAATGCTGACAGCAAGAGCATGTAGAAATAAAAACACTCTGCCTGAGTTTTGTCTCTCTGTCTTTAGTAACTTGAAGAAATTCTGTGCTTCATCTTCCAACTTTACCTACATTATGTCAATTTTTTCCCTTCAATGCAGAGCAAATTCTGAACATCTAAATTTACAAAGAAATATCCACAACTTTGCTTATAATTTCTTTTGAATTGAAGTCTACTGCGCCAAGGCAAACGTTATTTGTACATCTCTGTAATTGTATGCAGGAACTAAGATCATAAAATCTAGATTTGCAAGATCTAAAAATAATTCACAATGCAGAGAATTTCAGGTCCTGATCTCTGTAGAAAATAAAATACTTGAGGTTAAACCATCAACAGCTTTTTCTTCACACATTAAAATCTTCTTTAAATGATTGGCTCCATTTTCAATTCGCTTTTATAATTGTAGAATAGATTACAATCTGTCACCATGACTACTGTTCAGGCTGAACCATCGTGCTGAACTTGGTAATATAAGCTCCCAATATTTTCTCACCGATCTGATGATGCGACAGAACCAGGCAGGACAGTCTGATGGCTGGTTGCGTTGATGAAGTCAAAGCTCCAACTTGACATCTACAATAAACCACAGCATGCAAAATTTGTCAGGCCAGTTTGGAAGCAGCTATAGACCTCGCTATATACTCGCCTTACAGAAAGATGATCTACAGACAGGAGAGAATAATGTCAAACATGAGCACATTATCAGAAGAAAAAAACTCACAAACACTAAACGTTTGAATTACAAACAGCCAACACAACAGGCTGGCGCTAATGTAAGCAGTTCTCTCATATTTTATTTGCTTTTTGTAAGTATTTCATTATATCACAATAATATACACAAATTAATTTCACTATTGACATCATTCTGATTCAAAAAAAATGTTGAGACAACTAAATAAAACTATGGCATAAATGGTGAGTGTGAAAGAGTTGGCAGTGATCGCTAACATTACTGCCAGGCTGCTAGCTAACAAGCTAACTGTTAGACTTAGCAACAAGCTACAGAGTGAAAAGAATGATGATGTAACGTCATAGTTTGTCATTAAACAAAACAGCAAATCCAGCAGAGATACTTACTTGTCCAGCAGAAACGTGGCTAACTCTGCATCGGATTTGAAGCGTTTCAGGTAGAGTAGCTCCCTCCACCTCAGAAAAGCTGCTCCGATGTTTATCCTCGTTTTATTCCGGGCTCGGTCCAGTTCTTTCTTCTGCGCTTGCTTTTCATCTTTAGACTTCTTCCGCCTACCTCTCCTTGTTTTTTGAGCAGCTGCCGCCACTCGAGAATTGGCAGTTTTCCTGCAACGTTAGGTTCCCTCTCCGCCATTAGCACAGCTGCAGCACACCAGCAGTCTTGAGCTCGAGTGACAGTAAAGGTTGCTGGGCAGCATGTACAGGAGCGTGATTGACACCCCTCCTGGCTCTTACTAGGGGTGTATTTCTGCAATAGCAGCAAGATCACTGGGATGAGCCACAGAAGCTTGATATTTTTCATAGATCATTTGTCTCATATTATAGTGTAGTTTTAACAGATTGCTGTTAAATTAATATGAATAGATCAACTGTTTGTTCGAAAAGCTGTCTCAGCTAAACAGAAACTCAGAACCAGGCATAGAATCTACAGACATTAAGAGACAATATACAGAGTAGTGACGTCACTAGTGACTCAGGTGCGGCCATGTTGAAATGCGAAGTCGAAATTGCTTCCACATTCCCAGTGGAGAAAGTGATTTTTTCCAACTGGGAAATTTCCCAGTTCCAAGTGGAACTTGAACGCACCATAACGTTGAGCTGGTGGTGCATTTCACATTTCACGGTTAACGTTAGCCATTGAGTAAAAAATCAAACTTTAACAGATTCTAGGTCTCCATCTAAGATTATTTAGCAGCTGGAGCAGAGGACAAGGGGCTGGCAGCTCTGCGACATGAAGGAGAATCATTTCAGAAATCCTACCTAAGATCATTAGAAACTGTAGCTGGAATCCAAGCAGCTGATATAATGAAGTAAAACATGCTAACCTAATCTGTCCATCCTAAAAGCAGCATCCATGTTTCTGTGTTCCTCTTGCTCTCCTACCTCTAGTCGCCGTTTGAGCTCCTTTCGCTACATCTCTGGTAGCGTTTCTGTCTCCAGTCCTTCATTCAACTGTCACTGAACGGCTGGGGTTCGGTTTTAATCTGATTAAATACACAAAAACCAAAGAAAACACGACGGACAAAAACTATAGCCGCTATGTTAAAGAGAATTTGGCGTCTGCGCACTGGCGACGAGTGGCGGACCCCGGAAGTCCCGCCAGGATCTTCTGAGGGAGTTGAATCCGCATGCGCATCAAGGACGTATGTCAAGAGTTACGCCATATTGTAAGTGGCATTTAGAATATTATACTTTTGTTACATATATATTTAATAATGTTTTATTTTTTTAAAGGATGAAAAACATTCAGCCATGTCAAATAGCATCAATATTTTTGTTTGCTTGTTTCACTCCACAGTTTCAGTGGAATTCAGTTCAGTTTAATTCAAATATATAATTAATCCAAATGAAATGAAATGTTGTAACTCACATTATCAATTTGTTCAAGGAGTTATAGATGCTAATGGCTATGGTACTGGTGGGCAGAACAGTAGCAGCAGACAGTATCACAGCACTTCTGAAGATTCTTCTGGCCAAAAACACTCAACTATTGTATGAGAGTCTCCGAAGAGGATCTTCAGGGTTGTCTGTAATTTATTGATTTCATGAAAAATCCT